CCCTGTTTAAGATGCAAAGGATACAACAGCGCAGGTATTAGAGGGAGGATATGAACTGGTGGAACTAATGAGCCTCAAGCTCGATTGCCCTCTCTCTCTCTCTCTCTCTATCTTTTTTTAAAACATTTTTTCTCTCTCTTCCTCATTCTATGTCTCCCTTCCCTTGCAGCCAATTTATTAAAAGTCAGCTTATCTTTCAAGGTGTTTGATCAGGGGAATGAGAAGAGGGGATTGCAAATAGACAGAAATTGCAATGAAACCTGTCACTTTATGAAAAAAGTAACAGAGCCTCGTAATCAAACCGAGAGCTTCCATTTAACAGTCACTACAAATGTGTGTATCCTCACTTCCTTGCTGAAGAAATATGTATTAAAAAACTGCTGAGTGTTTCAAATAAAATATGAACAATTAGATAAATGTCCAATTTTTCTCTGGCGCTCAGACAGACACTATCACAGCATGCATATTTTGAGTAATTAAATGTACAGGGTATATGACAGATAGATTGTCTTTATTGTAACTAGTTAGGGTTTTGAGGATAGACTTTCTAAGTCTAAATGACTATGCATCCCTACACATGGCTACATTTAATGTTTACCTTTTTAAAATTAATTGTTACCACAAACTTTCCTGAACCTTACCCCAAGGCCAGATACTTTGAAAGACATTGGCATTGGATTTAAAAAAAAAAAAAGATTACATTGAACAAAATTCATGATTTTGCAGAATTACCCAAAATAGACTTTCTTGGCCAGCAATAGGGCTGAAGCACCATTATACCCGAATCTCACCCATCCATAAAAACATTCAAACCACTTTTCATTAGCTCCGATTTAAGCTCGGAGACCAATGAATTTTTCAAATAATTAAATGGGTTTCTTTTAATGGTTTATTTATCTTAAGAAGTAGGAGAATGTTCTCAACACACAAAATGAAAAATGAAGTGTTTTTCTTTATCTGGAAAATTGAAAATAATTCAATTTGGAGATACGTGGTTATCACTGGACAGCGACAGTTAAAAGTAAAATGGGGTAAAAAGTCTGACGACTGAAATGTGATGAAAACTTTAACAACTGGGGCTAAGTCTCAAATAAAAATACCTTGGATTGTTTACTCTGACATTTCAGTTTTATCTTTATTAATATGTTTAATATTTTTATATAAATTCTTAATTTAAATTTCCTCATTGAAGCACAATTAAAACCTTTATCTGACCAAACCCCTTTATATTTGACAAAACGACTCATAATATATTACTACAGGTAACATGTCACATGCACATCTTTTCGTGGCGAAGGAAGACACAGTAAACTTTCGTGTCCAGCCTGTAACACTTATTCGCAGGTGAGGAGATTGTTCTGTGCTCACTTTATTAATGGACCCGTGTTATCTGGTCACAGCTGGCTGCCTTTTCGTAGGCATGGCCACTGACATTTGCAGTTACTCTCTGTCCTTCCACAATATTCATTAACTGTACGGACCCATACAATTGGAGATAAAGCTAACCTCTTTCAGAGGATTAAAATAGCTGATGATGTTAACACCTCATGTTACCCCAGCACCAGTTAAACCCATAGATCTACAGAACATTACACAGTTTGAGTGAGATGCCCGCAACATGGGGCAGGACTGACACTGGGGAATAAACCTCTAATACTTTTTTCCCCAAACAATTCTGTTGATGTGTGATACATAAAAAGCAATAAGCATTAATACACCATATTGCACTTGGACCTCCCTCCATGTCTCTAAAAATGGAAAAAATACACCATACTCAAATGTTCTCGACAATACTCTTTTAGGCCCCAAACTCCTCCATTTCCTCTACTTTGAACTTTTCCCTTTGTGATTATTCCCTCTAGGTCCTCCCTCCGCTATATGTAGAGCTCGTTCCTGCTTCCCTTGTTTTCATTGTCATGCTCCAGCATTGAGTCAAAGTTAATCGGCTTTATTTTGCACTTTTATGGCGCTGCAGAGTTTGGCAGTGAGCAAAAAGATAATGTCTGTTTATGAGTTCCAGTCGTCTAAATTTGTGTGAGATGGCTTAATTGGGGCAATATCTTAACAAAATCTTATGGTGGTTTTGCACCCAAGGGAACGTGGTGTATTTTCCTTCACTCTGAGAAAGAAAGGCAAGCTTTCACCAAAATGGGTGAGGTGGCAAGTGTAAAAAAAAAAAAAAAAAAAAAACTTGCTCGGATTGAAATGTTAACAAATTTTTTATCCCAGTTCCCATGGTGGCGGTTCATACGGTGCTGAAGGAACTTTTAATCACAACTCACAGCAGAATGACTGATGAGAATTTTAGGCCTTGTGGATCGTTTCCATTATTTTGAGATTCACCCCTTGTGTATTCTGACTAATTGTTACCCAGCTAGTCCATCAGCGGTTGAGCTCAACTTGTAATATATATGAGTGAGTCTAGCTCATTTATTAGAATATGTGGGGTGTTTAGGTGCTTTAGGGTATGCTCTGGGGGGGAAAGCTAATACAGCATATGGCAAATCTCCCTATTTAATCATTCCTTCCAAGCGCGCTGTGGGCTGCTTAGCACATTTTCAGGAGTTATGTGGTTACAAACATTTCTATAAAGGGGAATGCAAAATGTTGAACAAATGCAATCATGTTTTTTGTGAATCATGTAAGAAAAAGTTTTTTAGTTCTTCTCTGACTGTGTAATTGATTATTTCAACGAAGAACTGACTGGAGGTCATAATTCACCAAGGTTTCTACTTCAAACTCGTCTCCAGGATTCAGCGTTTGTCTCAGCAAATCAACAGATTCAGTCAGCGCTGGCCCCATTCACTCCTGTCGCCATGGCAACCCCTTTTCCCCTTATCTTTTGCTGCCATGTAACCACCTTGCACCTGTCTGGAGTGCGTCTTGGGAAGTTCTTATCTGGTTTTGACTTTGTCACTCTTCACTAGGCGGAGAGGGGAACTGAATTCACAATGACTGAAAAGCCGCAACCGGCAAACAAACAAGCTTCTCAAAACAGAGAGCATGTTTTTCTTCTGCCGACTATTTGTGAAGCCACAGAGGAAAATGCAGCGGTAATTGGGCTGTGGTACGAATACAAGAGTTACCTGTATAGGTTTTACATCAACAACTTTGGTTCTTGACATTAAAGACACACTTTGAGCAGATGATAGAGACGTTATTACTGATACAAATGTCAAAAGAACTGTAAAAATAAAAAAGTAATTAAACAAGCTTAGCAATAACTACACATGCCAGGGCTGCAAGCTTTAGATTTCTCAATACGCCGATGAGCTACTGATGAGACCACCCCTGCCTATGTGCTGTTGGTCCTTTGCTCCAACCTGCCAAGGAATGGAGTATGTAAGACTGTATGTATCTGGCACCAAGTTGTTACCAGCAGATCCTTTAGGTCCTGTAAATTGTGAGGTGGAGTTGCGGGTTCAGACGTCCCTCGTCACCCTGTTACCCAATCGTTATGGTTGTTCAGGTCTTTAAACCTGTCCGTTTCTCCTGCAACTAATACAATGACGAGAACCAACTGTTCATTTATCATCTAATATATCCCACACCTTGACATGTGCCGTCATTATGAATTAATCAATGTAATTTGCATAATCTGTGAGTGATCACTGGCTCATCAGTCAATCATTAGCTACAGTTAACTAGCTTACTGTCTACAGAAGTAACCCCTAATATCATTAGTTAATGATATTGATACATGATATCTGAACATGTAAGCTAGTTAAATTAGCACGTTCAAACAGGCTTGACATCTGTAACCATCAAGCGCATATTTAAGACCCCGTTTTTGAGAGTCTTGTTTTCAAATGAGTCATCTGAAAACATTCAAAACTGAGCTTACGTTAATAGCTAGCGAGCTGATCAAATCTGTCAGCAACGGTTATTTCAGCTGGCTGTGGCTGGACAAAAATGAGCAGTATGATTTTGTCCGCCTCTGTCTGAAATCAAAGACTCGTTTGACCTTCAAGTGATAAATCTGCCTGTTATCATTGTAAACTGCACATGTACTGAAAGAAAAGCATGACAGGCGTAGCAACAGTACAAGGCATGGGGCTCAGCCAACTGACATTTACATCATGTCTGGGTGTGTAACTACCAATGTTAGGTTATTCCTAATTCTCTCAGTGCATCTCAGCTTGGTACTCACATTCCCTTCATTTCCTTCCTCCTACAAATCAATCTTCAATCTTCCCTGTCTCAATAATTCACCCTCTCTCTCTTGCCCCTGTGCTAATTTGTCTTTCTGAGGAGACAGAAGACACCTCAGATCCAGCTTGGGACCTGGGCTTCAGTCTGTTTGTTCTTTCGGCACAATGGGGACATGTGAGGAAAGTGCTTTTCTTTGCTCTTTTGAGTCCAGTGGGTGCCATCAAACTTTAGGTACACCTTGAGGACGGCATGAGGTACAGATTGTGTCATAAATCTGGCTGTACAGTATTATAGTCTTTCCAATATATCCTTTTTCTCTCACCCTTCCCAACTGTAATGTTCTTCAGAATAAATTTCTTCATCTATGTCCATATGAGCAGATTTGAATTTCAAAATGTTAATTAATTTGAAAACTTAAAAATAGAACAATTACATCACTGGACCCTGATTTGCTGACAACACTAGCACTTTTAATTCTCTGAGGGTAATGCTAAAATGACAACTCCCCAATTATTCCCAAATGCCATGAAATTTCCTGAATGAATGAATTTTGAAATCCTTCTCAGGGGTGCTGTACTACCTTTACAGTTTTGGAAAGAAGGAAGAAAAGGAGCAGCTAATTTCACTCTTCTAAAACTTAATTAAGAAAAACAAATTACTAGACCAAAAACCGCTGTTCTGTCACACCCCCAAATCTCTTTGGGAGCATTCATTGTGTGTTCCAGTGCAGTTAATCATGGCTTAACAGTCAGCAATGATTCAGAACTGATAACACAATACTCAGCCTGAGTTCAAACTCAATTAGAATTGTCTAAACACAAAGGAATTAAAATGTAGTGGCTACTCACACATTGAAGAGGTTGAGGCCGATGCGGTAGAGGCGTTTTCGCATGACATCAGTGGACAACGTGGGTGATTTACAGCTGGCGGGGTTCTCACAGTGGTAGCGTGGCAGGCTGAGGATCATAGCCTGCAGTGCCTCCTTGGACGAGGCCTCAGATGTGGAGCGTGCCTCTGTGGACGTGCTGCTGCTGCTCATCTGCTCTGAGCTGTTATCTGCCGTCTCAGAGCCACATCTCTTCACTCCCAGGGGCACCACCACAGGAGAGCTCTCCAACGGCATGGCCTCCTGCGGTGGAGGGGCTTGAGGGGGTTCTGTGGGTGGTGGGGCCAACACCACAATTTTCTCTGGGCTTTGAAGGGCAGCCATCTTTTCCAGAGGGGTTAGGGGGGGTTGATCCTCCTCCACTAGCTCTTCCTCACTTGGAGGAGGAGCAGGGAATTCATCATCCTGGTCGCCTACTTCAAAATCTGAATCTAGGGGGGGTGGTGGGGGTTCTTGGGGGGGCGGTGGGGGATCTATGGGTTCAGCTGGGACCTCTGCAGGGGGAGGAGGGGGTTCTTGTGAGGGGCCAGCTGGGACAAAGACTGGGGTGGAGTTTGCTGTTGTGGAGGTGGTCGTGACAGTGGTGGAGGCTTGGTCTTGTTGGACGCAGCTGCCGAGTGTGACAGAAGTGGACGATTCCATGACTGAGGATGAAACACAAAAGTTCTGGCTGTCGATCTGCACGGTCACATCTCGAAACGCCATCATCAGCTTGCTTGCACTTCTCGACAGGTCACTTGGGTCCACCACGCCTTGATGAATTGTTGACTCTCCCACACCACCTCCTTCTCCGCCACCTCCTACTCCTGCAGCCGCTGCGGCTGCTGCTGCTGCACTGAAGGAGTCGGCACTGAACTGATAAGTGCCGCCTTCTTGCAGTGAACACATGGTCTTCAGGCTCCAGTTGCTGAGTGCATCGTCTATGGACTTTGCCAGTGACTGGACCTGTTCAGTGAATGAGTCTTCCAGGTCGGTCAGGGTGCCACCGACTGTGGCAGGCAGAGATGGTGAGCGCACCAATGGGATGCCTGCCAAGTTACAGCCTTCTGCCAGGGCCCGTTCAGCAGAGAAACCCTCCGTGTTTTGGACACGGACCTTGCGCAGGGAGATGCGTCGAGGCAGGCGACTCTCCAGCAGTGAATTACGGATCTTCTCGAAGTTCTTGCTGAGCTGGTACTGGCGGAAGGCAGTCTGGATCTTGCAGGCAGCACGGCGGGAGATGAGGTGGCCACCGTATTTGTGCTCTAGCATTTCGATCTAGAAAATACGAGAAAGAACAACATAATGAATTGGTGGTGAACTTCTGTTGTATCTTTAAATTCACAAGACTTAGATAACGTCTTATAACCTATCAGAGCAATCTGCAATTACTGTGAAAACATCACTGTCTGGACTCAATCATATATGACAGTTGCATATTAAAAACATAGTTAAGAACAAATACAAAATACACACAGTTGGGTTAGGAAAAAAAGTTGCCAATCTCAAAGATGGCTCTTCTCTGGTGACTCCCACAATACCCTGTATCATGGACAGTTATATTTATTAAAGGGGCCCATGCATGCCATGTTTAATCTCTTGCTGGTCGCTGTGGTGCATGAAAGATGAATATCGTGAATGAGTTGAATAGCAATGTGAGAAAACAAGTGGAGTGTAGGTGGAATGAACGGGCTGGACAGTAAAAGAGGAATGGGATAATTGTGGTGGAAAATAAGAGAAAATAATTGCAGCTCCCAGGAGATGGAAGAGGTTGTAAAGTCCAATTTCTGGGAGGAGCAGGCAAAATTCAGATATTATAGTACTCGAAATTCAAATAATAATATTCTCAGATGGCTCTGTAATTGTATTTTGCAAACCGCCCCTGTGATGTGTGTAGTGAAACTATACACAGTCTGGTCAAAGCCACAGTTTGAAAGAGAACCCAGTGAAGGCTGACTCATGGTATTTGGACAAACTGTTCATTTCCTCAGCAAATAGAACTCATAATCTCTGCGAATTCCATAGAGAGGTCCTCCACACAACTTTAAATTGTCTGAAACTGAACAAGCCATTAATCTTGCCTGTGAAAAATTGCTCAAATGCTGTGGGAAATAGATAGAGATGTAATATAGCCAGCCTCATCTGGCAGCAGCTCGAACACTAGATGAAACCTCATTGAGTTTCCCAGAACAATCAGGGTGTGGGTATCTTTGGAAGAGCCCAGAAAGAGCGCTTATCTTCTCGAGTCACTCTGAAATCCTTTTCATTCAGGCTAAATCAATGAATATAATTCTGTTTCTGTTCTAACTTTATCAAGGGCACGAGTGAGGAGCAGGTTTGAGCTTTGAAAGAACAGCAGTGTCACATTCTGTCATTTAACAAACATGAAAAAACGGACATGTTCTAAATATACTGCGTATAAATGCAAATTAAAAATAGCACGGCATTTAATTCTATGAAATAGAAATCCTTGCTGCTCCCTCCCTCAGTGTTCTCTTAAAGATTTGAGCTGGGGTCTTGTATCAGGGTGATGTGTACATGAGGATTAATTTGGTCCAAGTAAAATATCCATCCTATAAATTCAAATGCAATTGAGCAAATGGTTCCTGTGGCCACGAAGGATCAAAATGTGACTTTCAACCGCTAATCTCCTTTTGCTTTAGTCCTGGACAAAGTCACCCAACCACCTCGGACAGACTCCTGCACAGAGGCACTGATAGGCTGTAATGCCTCGAGGGTTTGCAATTTGTGATAAGTGGTTGGTTCAACAAGATGCAGTTTCTCTGGTTGTCATTGGAGGAACGGAATCACATACAAAGCTCTTTAGAAAAGTGGAATGACACTGAAAATCCATCTTATCTACTCCATTTACATTTCACTGCAGAGCCTCTGCGAGCAAAGTGAGACGTACTGAGAATATTAAGATGGTTCCTGAATAGGACGCTGGTTTGGGGCTCTACTGTATCTGCTGATGGCGACTTCTCAGCAGCCGACAGCTCTTGCAGAATGGTCGAACTCAATCTGAATATTCATCACTTTTTAATCTGGATTGTTCTGTGACTATATACTGTGTGCACTCTTGAAATTACAAGGTTAGCCTTATCACCATGACTGCACACCAAAATAGATGCTGTTCAGGTTTAGGCACAGAGCTAATATGATTGACTTCATTACTCAGAAAGGTGTCCCTCATCAAAACACATTCTGCAAAGAGTTGCACTGCAGAGGTGCCCTTGGATGTGAGAAAGGGCCGTCAGTCAGGCTGCGTTTGATTAAATGTGGCAGTCGAGCTTGTTTGTTTTGACTTCTCTGTAAGCTGGGTTGGGGATGATGAATAAAGCATTTGGGTCACGTTGCTTTCTTTATCAGTGTGTGTATTTGATACACTTTGCCATTCAGATAGAATTACAGGAACCGTGACGAGCTGGGACACGATAGATGGAGGAAAGAAGAATGGAGAAGAAGAAGAAAGTAGGGAATGTAAACTTGATTTGATGCTAGGCTAGCAAGGATTGTGTTGGAGCAAGAGATGTGCCACTATACCAGTTTTTCTAGTGATGACAATGCCAGCAACTTCTATTATAGTCATTAACATGATTGTCAATGTTTTCAGAGGGCACCACAAACACAGCACACTCCCCTCCTGTCTTCATTAGCAATCTTATTCTAATTAGCCACAAAGGAGCACCTGTCTACCACTCAGACAGAGGCTAAGTGTCCGTGACTCGCTATGCTAACATTAGTAGTCGACCTACTGAAGCGCGACAGGTTTATGGTTGCTGTATCGTAAAGTTCAGTTAGAGAGAGATTTCTTTTTTCAAGAAAAATAAAAATAAAAGTCAAAAGTAAGTCAAATACTTATTATGTTTTAGCTCTGTTTTTGCTCTCTACCAACTCCTATGGGAAATATCTGGTTTTGAAATATTCCACCATGTTCTCCAGCTACTCACGAACTTTGTCTAGTGTTGCATGCTGACGGTAGCATACAGTGAGTTGTTAGAACTTTTGGAACCCAAACATTTGATACATTATCTAAAAAAATATTCATTATACTTGCTCTAAAGCCAAGCGGATTGAATCATAAACTTGAAAGAACACACACTAAAATTACCTAAATACTTCACAGAAGTCTGATGACTGATGTGTGATAAAGGGAATGCAGGTGATAGATTTTTGGGGGTTTTTCCACAATAATTAACACCCAAAAAATCAGAACATGTATGAAAACAATGGATGCATAGAAAAGAAACATATGAAGTGGGTCTGATATCCAATCAACTATCTTAAACTCGACCACTGTAGCATCTGTACATGTAGAAAAGGGGAAGGTCAAGAAAAAGCAAAAAGACAGATGAGCAGAGCACTGAAGACACAAGAAAACAGGTGACTCTGGATGTCGGGAGAAGGTAAGATATAGAAAGAGGTGGCGAGATGGATGACCGCACTACGAGTGGCCCTGCTGAGTATCCCCCCCATTAGCCAACTGTCAGTTCTACCTCTGATCACTTCACTAAGCGCTGATGGAGAGAGATTATTCTGGAGACGCAGTGGTTTGAGAGAACAGTGATGGCACTGCTCTATTCCACCAGGGTCTCTAAATCCATTTTGACAGGCAGATCAGCACCATGCTGACCTCATGTTCCTCTATGAATGAAGGGGGGAAAAAGATGGAAAACAAAGCAGTGCAAAGTGGTACGACACTGCAGTATGTGTTGAAAAAGCTGGAGCATGTGATGAGAGATTCAACTCAAAGTATGAGGCTTGAAAGTAAACATAGAAAGAGGCTATACAGCCACAAAAAGAGGATTTAGGTACCATAGAAATTTGAGGTAATGATCACATTTTAAAAGAAACTTGAACTCAAATCCAGGGTCATTTCAAGTATTTTTGATTTGCAGGAGCTCCGGCTGCATCAGATGTGACAGTGGATAGCTTGGCATGAAATATGTGACTTTGTATACATATGAAATATTTATACCCTCAGGTTTTGGGAAAGAAATATTTTAGTCTGGAACTGGTTGTGCTTCAAATGGACACGTCTCAAAATGAAAGGTCAACCAAAAGTACAATACATGGCAGCTTTTCTTTTGTGATTTCGGGAGCCAATTTTGCTGTTTGTGCCATTATTATTATGTCCTTCCTCTTCTTTCAGGGCATTTTGAGATTTCCTAATAACCTTGCAGTACACGTCTGCCTTCTGTCAATGTTTAGAATTTCTCCATTCAGGAGCTAGCTACAATATTAGCCACGCTAAGTGGTTAAGTATGGGACACTTTGAGGAAATTTCATTGTATTTAAATGGTTCAAAATTCTGAGAAATATGCTTATTTGTTTGATGCCAGAGAAGAAGACAACAGAGAAGATAGTTATGTACAGTGATTATTACAGAGAAATAACAGGGACAAGATATGTTAGATGTGTGTATCTTGAAAATGTCATCTAACTGTTAAACATCAGCCATACTGAGATTACATACTGTCCTCTGTCTTAATTTGTCCCCATACATAGATCAAAATTAAAATACTGATTTATGGGGTTTCATTCTTAAATGTGCAAGAAAATACTGATGAGCGTAAGTAAAACAGCAGATTATCAGATCTCACATGCTGCAGAAAAATAAGGGGCAAGATGCAAAGCTGCAATTATTAGCTTTCATGCTCATGCACACTGTCTTACAGCACAGAAACATCTGCATGATTAATGAGATGATTATATAACGGCAAAACTGGGACACTAATGCTGACTGTATTACAGAATGAGGATGACAATAAAAGACTTGATGTCATCAGAGGATAGAGATCTGTTTAGCTGATACATCCTTGGCCAAAGTCAGTGACCGAGAAAAGGTCAGTAGTTACTTCAAGACAAATTCTGACGCAGAATAAAGTTAAAATTAATGAAAAAATAGGATTATATTGACCGGTCTCAGTCGCCAACAAAAAAAACTACAGTCTCATCAGAATGACACATTTCTACTGTTCTCACAGCAGCAACCTATTGAACCAAGTCATCGCATTTGCTAATCCATTCCCCTTTATTTGCATCAGCAGTTTTAAGACAAGCTACTAAACACAATGAATTCCTTAATGTGCGACAGAAAAGACGATCTGAACCCTACACCGGGCCTTGTTTGATATTTCTTGCACATAACTTGCACATTTCACTTAATTATGAGTGAATACAAGCTGCTGGATTTAACTTTTCACTGCTGAATGTTCCACTTTGAGGAGATAAATGCCTTTTGATTCCTGGGCACTTAAATTACTCAAGCAGAGATT